CCGCGCCCTGGGGACCCCTTGGCGGCGCTCGCCTGGCCCGGAGTGCGCTCGGGGACCCAGGGAGGGAGCCACTTTCTTTGCCCTTGTAAATGTTTATTTTTTAACTCTTCCCAGTCCGAACTCTCTGGTGAGTGTGTGCGGGAGGAGGCCCGGGCTGCCTGCCCGGTGTCGCCAGGGTCGCCGCTCCACGCCCTGTAGCCCTCTGATGGTTTGCACACCGCTCCACCGTGGCCCCCAGCGCACACCCGTCACACTCACCCTAGCACACTCACTGAACACTTTTATAATCGTTAAACGGGCGGATGGGACCTGGGGCACAGCGTAGCTGCTGCCGCGGCCGGAGGATTGATATTTATTTTTGCATTGCAATTGCTGAAGGCGTTTATTTAACGATCTTTTTACTTGGATATGTCTGCGAGGCTCCTGTGTGGAGACAAATAAAGTCCATATATTTACACAGTGCATTTCACCGGGCTCTGAACTTCTTACACCTTTGGGCCCCAAACTCCTGAGACAGGGAGGTAGGGAGGCTGTTCCGGGGACGAGGAGGAGCCGGGGAGGCACCAGGTCACGGCCCGGGTGCGTGGTCCCAGACCTGCGCCCCCAAGTCAGTCCACACCGTATCAGGGCGCTCCTGCCGCCGGGTCTGTTCTCCAGTGCCAGCGCAGGGGACCGGATGAAGCCTCGGGCAGAGCAAAGGCGGTGCCCAGAGAACTGGATGGAGAGAGCCCTCCGCGGGGCAGTCGGCCTATCGGAGTGCCGGGGTCAGGTCCTAGCGCCGCTCCCGGTGCAGAAGACCCCATTCATCCGGAGCCCCGTCCCGGCAGGCAGCCAACGGGAGGGGAAGTTGCCAAAGCCAGCAATGGGTACCCCGGGCCAGAATGTTTGGGGCCCAAGAGAGGGCGAGAGGGGGGCGCGCGCAGGGTGTCGCGCGCAAGCAAACTGCGGCTGTTCCAGTCCTTAGGACACTTCTTTCCGACTTTCTGGATCCCCTTCGGGGTTCCTCAAGAAGGGTGAGCGGTCTTTAGTCTCAGCATCTGGGATCGATTCCCTGCCCCGCCCCCTGCCTCGATTTACAGCCAGGCAAACTCACTGGCCCAGGGGCGCGCGGGGCCACGTGGAGAGTAGCAACACGCGGCCCAGTGCTCTTTCCACGAGGAGTCTGTCTTCCCAGGGCTTTTTGGCAGCCTCTCCAAATCCCTCTCTGCACCCTTAAACCATCTCGGGTAGCAGTGTAGCGATCAGGGTAACACAAGGCAGTGGGGTGAGGATGGCCTTCCGTACCTGAGTCCCCTCGCCGCCGAGACCCCTCTTCCGCCCTGCTGCCTCTTCAGTAAGCAGTCTCTGTGCCTGTGTGCCCTCTGGAGGTGGGGGCTGTGTGTGTGTCCCCAGCAGAGGGTCTGGTCTGCATTCTCGCCTTACACCCCACCTCTTGATGGCCTGGGCTCAGCAGAAAAAGGGAAAGAACAAAAATAGAGCACAGGCCTGAGAGCATGTCCTCCCTACTGGCACACAGAGGCGAGGACAGGCCTCAGCTTTGGCGGCTGGGGTCTTTGGCCCCTGTCCCAGCTCCTGAGAGCAGCCAGGTCATTGCAATGGCTCCATTGTGGTGCAGCCCTGACAGGAGGAGCTGCTGGGAGGCCCTTTGCTGCCAGGGGCACACTCGGAGGCAGCTGTGTGTCCACACTCTTTATTTCATCGCTGCAGCTGCTGTGTGGGGCTGGTTTGAGCTTCAGGGTGGGAGGACGGGCCAGATTTCCCAACCCCTCCAGTCCAGCCCGGTTCCCTTCTTTCCTCAAAGACTGCAGTGCCGGGGCCACGAGGCCCTCACTTGCGCCGCCTGTCCTTGTCCTTCCTCTTCAGCAGGAGCCCCTGCCCGTACTCTCTCTGGAAGACACAGCCCTAAGCGGGCTGCCCTGAGGGTCACCGGCTCATCACCTGGGCCGTGCAGGGACCCTGGCCCAACCCTGTGATTCCCTGCCCAGCTGCTGCGGAACAGAGGCAGAGTAGGGGCTCTGAAATGAGTCAAAGTGAATTCAAAGGTAAGGAGGGAGCTCAGTGCCCATTTTGCCTACCTCTTGGCTTGTTTTATAATGCCAAGGAGTCATTTGTATACCCACCACCCAGAGATAAACTGTGAAAACTCTGAAGCTACATATGTATTCATTTTCTTTCTGTATTTATTAGTACAGGTTCATAGCACAGGATGACAATTCCTCATGGGGAGCTGGTACAGGTCCGCGACACATTAGTTGCCTTTTCCTCCCCTTCCCAACCCCGCTCCTTGCACATTTTGCTTCCCTTCACATTTGCAAAAGCTCTGTCTCCATTTTTTTCAATGCCTTTTTTCTCATCTCCTTTCTCTTCTCTCCTTCCCCTTCTCCTTCTCTTGTTCCCCCCTCTCATTTGAAAAAGATTTCCCTACTTCTTATTATCTATTACATACGTATCGCATATCCACACACGAATTTCGGGGGATTCTCCCATAAGAGAAACCATAAACGTGTGAGTCTGATTTCACTTAATTTTATGTTTTCAAGGTGCATCCATCTACAAATGACTCAAGTTTATCCTTCCTGATGGCAGAGGACAAAGCGGGTCTATACTCTCCCTGTGCTGTTTTTCAACCTGCTTTTAAACTTAATTGGATTTTGATAATGTCAGCGTGCACGGATCACCGTGGTTTTTATAAAATTCCATTGAACAGATATTGCACATTCATTAAGCAAATGCCTCCCTCTTCTCGTAAGAGTGAGGTCCTCTTGTCCCAGCTTCTTAGTTTGACTCTAGCAGACAGTTCCGGGGGCCATTGTAGGAAGACACCTGACAGAAGCGGTGACCAAGAGAGGGGCTGGGTGAGGAGAGGAGCGCCGGAGAGCTGGGGAAGAAGGATTCTCAGACACGGAGAGAAGGCAGTGGGCAAGAGGGACAGCCACGCGGAAAAGTGGAGTCCAGAGCAAGAGAGGTCGTGAGATGGAGAAGAGTAAGGGTCACCCTGGGAGAGAGAGGGGCGAGGGCAGGATGGAGGAGTGTGGGGAGGAAGAGCCAGAGAGCTTCACAGGAAGTGGGAAAGGGGAAAGAGAGAAGAGTGGAAAGAAGGGGGCTGGGGTGAGAAGGAGCTTGGTGCAGGCGGGCCTGTGCCTGCTGGGCCATCTGGATTTACAGCCCTGTCCAAGGAGACGCCTGCTTCCTTCCCTTCCCTGCCTGGGCCCCAGCCCAAGATCCTCGCCTGGGTGATGAGTTTTCAAACAGGCTGGAGCCCAGACAGGGCAGACTTACAAGTGGCTGTCTCTGCCCGGCCTGGCAGGCTTTCCTAAATGTCTCTCTTTGGCCCAGGAAGAGATTTTATCAGGGTATTTTTCAGCCTGATTTAAAAGCGAGCTTGGCCTTTGCAGCTCACTGTGTATCAATTCTGGGCCCAGTGCTGTCTGAGATCCCTGTAGAATTGAGATCAGCTGTGAACTTCGGAGTCCCCCCACAAGCATATTGGGGTATAAATGTTGCCATTTGGTGGACACTTCCTGTAGGGACTCCACTTTTATCCTTATAATGTTTTCTAGATGAAAAAAATAAGGGTCAGAGGGGTAAATGCCACACAGACACCGCTTGTCAGGGCTGAGCTGGGTTGCAACTCTCTCTCTATATCCAGAATCTCTGCTCTTTCCAGTTCTTTACTGTAAGTCCCGGTGGTAGCCATGAGAACAGGCCCTGCACCTGCTACCAGAAGTGTAACTGGCTTGGAAATCCATCAGCTTTTTAGGCTGCTGCCCCCCAAGGTATCGAGGCTGGGGTAAAAGCCATTCCTGGGAAACACAGAGATTTCTTGGTTGGTGGGCTTGTCCCAAGACTTTCTTAGTGGCTCTGCTGTAGCTTTCAAGGCCAGTGGTGCAGTCCCTGGGACACCTTCGCTCCCTCTCTCCACTCAGGGCCACCTCCCACCCTATCTCACTGCACACAGGCACCTCCTCTGGTGATCTGGGTACATCCGACCCCATCCTGGCATCTGCTTCTTGGAGGCCCTGTGCAGGCGGCCCCTCCAACTCCCAGCAGGTGCCTGGTGCTCCCAAGCCTGTCCTTTGCCCTCACCCACCACAGGGCAGACAGTGGGCATCACTTTAGGGACAACTCTAGGAAGGTGACAACATTTACCAGATTAATAATACCGTGTGACGGTCTGCTGGCCTCGAGTTTCTGAATGGGAGTGGCATTTCGGGGTGACCTGTGTGTGCACATGGGATGAGGGGCTCCCAGGCCCGCCTGTGCCCGAGGCCACGTTGATCTAGAATGACAGTGGTCTGTTCAGCTCCAGGCTCTTGGTGGAGACTGCTACTTATCCACCAACGCTGAGATCTCCCTTCCCTGGGACGCACAGCCAGTCTATGCGTCCCAGGCTTCCTATGTGGCCTTAAAGTTGTGGGTGTATCCCCTCCTCTCAGGACTTTTCCCTCTCCACAAGAGCTATATGTGTCAGCAACCCAATGGTGATCAAGCCAATAACCCTGGAGATGGCAGAGAATCAAGAGGGAAGCACCCCTGTGTGACCTTGTGGACCCAAACAGCCTGTCACTTGGGAATGATCACCATGAACTCTTTATTATACATGACAGCACACAGTTACATCTCACTTGAGCCACTGAATCATTATTGAATGTCTTTGTTGTGGTACCCCTGCCTCACCATAAATAAATAGAGATTAGCACTGGCAGTGGGATGCCAGCCTAACAAAAACTCTAAATAAAGCAAAGGTACCCTAAAATACTCAGTGGTTTTGCTGCATACAGGGAGGGTTCACATATTGTGGACTGGAAAGTGAGCGACCCTCGTGACCCCTTGGCAAAGCATTTGGTGAAACCATGTTCATGACCATCTGGAAGCCATCATACATTAACCAAGCCCATAGCTCTAGAAGAAGTAGTTGGGAAGAAAGAATATTAGTACACTGCCTGCTCTGTGTCTTTCAGCAGACTGTTCTCGGAAAGACAGGCAGAGGAGGTATGTAGAACATGGGCCTTCCAGGGGTGAAAGCCACCCACCTTTGGCACCCAGGCAGCAGGAGTTCAGACTGTGGTTGCTCAGAGCCTTTCTCAAAGACCACCCAGGAAGGATGGGCAGCTTGGGAAAAGTCCGGTTAGAGCTTTTATCTTCCCACTCGATTGTGCTGTTTTAGAATGATCCCACGGCAGTCAAAGGAGAATTTGTGGGCTCGGCCAGAGCAGCAAAGATACTAATCAATGAGGCTTCAGCACTGAGTGAGAAAACATGGGGTGGTTGCTGGCACCCAGGACTGTCTGGAAACACACAGTCAGGAAGTCATTTAAGGGGATTTCACCGCCAAGGAAACTGGGAATAGGAAATGGTGATTATGAGTATTTGACCCCTAAACAACTCCCAAGGAGACCAGAACTTTCAACGCCCTCTTTGCTGTAGATGTAGCCACAGAGGGTGATGGGAAAAGGA